AAACTAAAATGATCACAAAAATCCCACGGGAGCCCATTTTTCGACATATGCCCCCGGACTAATGCGGACGTTGGTACGTGTTGGTTAGTCTAAAACGTCGTCTACAGTAATTGATTTTACCCGGCAGAACGAAAGAAGGAAACTCCGCTTTTCAGTCGTCTTAGGCTCTTGTTTTTTGACAAACAATGACCTTTCAGATGTCAAATTGCTGTCAAGAATAGCTACTGTCAACATGATTTCACAACATTCGCTCGACGTCGCTGTCTTGGAACTGTATTCTGCAGCGTGACCACTCACAATTTTTGATATACCCAATGACTGGGTCGAAATTACCCAGTGTTATCAGAGTAGACCAGTGATCAAGTTTTATTATGCAATGCATTTTAACTAGGTAAGATCAATGGCAACGCAAATCACAAATAAACAATTCTGAACCCATTTTTATAGCGATTAACAGTCAATTAAGAATGTTATGTGCACTTCGTTGAGTTTTACTTACTTGAATGAACTGAAATATACTTTGTTACTTCTTAATTTTTCCTCTAAGATAAAAATATTTAATTTTCTTAGTAAAAATAAATACCCAGGGTTTTGAACGGAATACCAAAGAACCCAAAACCAAGTGAAAATACCCAAGATCTTGGGTAAATACCCAAGTAGTGGTCACACTGGTATACTGTATTACCCGAAATGTTTGTGACATGTAGTCATTACTGAACAAGATTAAAAAAAAGAGAGAAAACGGTCGAAATAGACTGAAAAGACACAATCTATAAATTTGCCAATAAACTAACTACATCCAGATCCTTAATATTAACTGGAAAATATTCATGCCTGACGACATAATCAATTTCGTCATGTTTTCTCTATTATTTTTTTACTCTCATTCTTCCATTTCGGCGCCCCTCCCACGAGGACACGTACCCACCCTTGACCCCTAGTTTTAAAAAAGTATTTTTTACAGATTGGTGAGAGTGCAATTTCCATCTAGAGGTGTCTATCTTTAAAATTTTCTCACCTCACCCCCAACCATGATGGGGCTGACGTAAATGGAAGGGAAATTTTGGGGGATATCGGACTTGATCATCGTGGAACGTCTGGCGCTGGCATTGCTTTTAAATAGCCTAGTATTTGAGTGGATTTTTATGTTTGGGTTCTAGTGGATAGGAGAACATTGGGTGCAAGATTTTTTTTTGTCCCTATCCTACCACTTTATCTACTACTGCATTAGATCTTTTACAATCAAGGCCAATCATAGTTGATGTTGAAAAATGATAGACCTACATACAGTATATTAGGCATTATTATTAGAAAGACTTGTAGGCATTTATAAGAGAATGGACGGGGTTGTAATTGAAAAAAATTGGAAAATATGTCGGCCCGCAGCTGGTCTCACCAGATTTGAAAGTTGAATACCAGGGGCATAGAGCTCAGTTATAACAACTCTATAGTTGACAGATGAAAGTGTAGAGCTTTGTGCAGCAAACATTAGGACTTGGTGTTCTAATTCTACATAATTTGAATTCATTACTTTTTGGGGTTTGTTCAAGTTAAATAACTATATAGGCTAATCGGTAAACAACAAAGCAAACGACTGCAGCTTTTGACTAATATTCTTTAACATCTTGATACATTCCTCCCAGCATAATATAATTATGTTTTTAATGCCTCAGACCGAAACAAGTATTTACAATAGGTTTAATTCATTTTTTTTAAAATTTTATTTCAAACTCCATTCTTGCACAATATTATTTTGAGAATACAGTGATACCTTGTTGTGTTATAAATAAATAATTTAAATAAAATTAAAAATTTTCATATAATAATGCAGAAAAAGGCTACATCTACATTCTGCAGGTGGAAAACGGCGCCACGAGCAGCTCTACCAAGAGATAGATACGTGTGCCTAATAAGATGACATTATTATTATTATTATTATTATTATTATTATTATTATTAAAACATGATCAATATATTCTTTATTTTATATATCATACCATTTCATTGTTATCCACCAACTCTTATCAGAGGGGGCGTACGTGGCGCACGCACACCCCATCCCCCTCATTTTCCACAAAAAATTAGACTGCAAAACTTAACTCTACCCAACACAACAAAGAGTAAAGCAACTTGTAGAAGTAGATATAAATGAGATTACATAAATAACTGTTTAGTCCTATAAAGTCGAATCACCTTTCACAAAAAGCGGTTTCTTTATTGACATTACTTTTTGTTTAAATGTATGGTCTGGATGTGTATGTATACGGTACGGTACCTTTTACAGCAATATGAGAACCTCAATACATTTAGTAATTATATTGAAAATAGAGAATCCTGAATCTTATGATATTTGTTTATATATTATACTTACACTGTGCCAGTCGACAATGATTCTAAAATTCAACCAACCAAGGCTCGATGTTAGTGATTGTAATTATCATGGCATTGCGGCATTTAATTTGAAATAATCTGATAAATATATTAACTACTACAGTTTACATTTATTTTTACCAGTTATGTAAAACACTACCACGGGTATCATGTTATACATGCAGTTTAGAATATCAAAAATTAAAAATATAATAAAAATAATAATAAAAAAATAATAATAATTATTAATAATAATTATTAATAATAATAATTATTAATAATAATTATTTTTAATAATAATATTAAAAATTTACTTGAAATACTAACTTGTTTTATTATAACCAGTTAGGTAGGCCTACGGTAATAGTCTAATATCGGCACGGTATGTTATCGTCTATAGATGTCTTTACATTCAGTTTAAAAATATTTAAAATACCAACGATATAAATACAGATACTTGCACAAAATAACCGATACCTGGTGATAAATTAATATACAATAAATACATTTTTGGTAAGAGAAATGTTGTTGTTTCCACTTAGAATAACATGAATCTTCTCTTTATGTGACCTGAATGCTGTCTTAATATATTGCATCCTCTGTGTCGAACTGCCATTCGTAGTTTCTTCACCTTATGTTGAAGAATGTTGAATTTTTAAAACGCCTCACTTCGTTTTTAAACAAGCTATACCGGTAACACTTTTTTAACTGACTTCGGTTTTGAACAGGCTGACTCAATTATTAAGTGCACCGACTCCGTTTCTGAACGTTGAATACATTTGAATTTCGCGCATTGGCCAAATGCTGCCTGGTGCTGACGTCTACCCAGCTAACAATATTACGTTCTAAGAACGTTATAATAACGTTACAGTTTGGTGATAAAAACGTTATTTTGTAGAACCATATGTACGTAATTTTTACAACCTCACAACGTTTGAACGTTCTTACAACGTTGTGTGAAGGATTTTTTTGTGACATACCTAACCACAACGTTCGCTAACGTTATAAGAACGTTTTGTGTTTGCTAGGTAATTACTTCAGCTCTTTGCAATACACAGTCATGTTAGATAACGTTACACTTCTTTTTGTTTACTGATGAGAATTGTTAATGTATCAAGAGAGTTCGCTCTTTCTTCCAAGCTTTATGTTTAGGCCTTTTCCGAGAGTTTCTTCACGGCAGTGATCCGATGTCCTGCCTAGATCTATCAAACACTCGTGTCCATCATAGTTGTCATTGATGTCATTGATACCAAGTCTGAAGTGGATGCCTGACTGTCTGATGACTTGCGTTTTTGACGATTGTGTCGCCGTTTTTTCAAATATCGTTTCAAATTTAAAAACGACAGCGATGTTTTCCACTGCTGACGAACGTCTTGGTAACGTGCGCAGTGGAACACGAAAATGAAAAATCCCTGAAACGTTAACCCAACGACAAACAGTGCCTGAAAGTAAATATTATTTACCAGTTAATTTGATAATTTTGACACATTTGCTTTGTACCTTTGGTTTTGATGATTTTAATTTGATGTTTATATCAAACTGCAGAATTGTTCGATTAGGCCTAACGGGATACCTTTTTGAAAGTATGGTGCAGAGGTGTGGTACGTGGTTATTTTTAAAAATGTAAAGTTTTAAATACCAATAAAAGCAAACTCTCTAGTAGTGTCATAACTTTAAACTAAATAGTATTAGATTAGAAAGACGATACCTACCTGACACACAATTTGTGTTATTTGTAGTGGTCTCTCAGCAGAACTGTAGTTTATAATAGCCGCAGCTCCAAATACCCATGTTAGGCCAAGGAGAACAAACAAGGCGATTGCTCCACGCAATTGACTCAATCGATTGTCACGGTTATCTGTAAAACAATAAATTGTAGATTAAACTGTTTTGGAATGCCTAATAATAATAAAGGGAAGAATTTTACAATGTCATGTAAACTGACTAGCATAGTACTTGCTTAAAAGATGTGAATGGAAGAAGGAGCTTAATGAAGAAGCAGCTTAGCTCAGTCTGGTGGTAGCCACTGTGTGTGCGCTGGATTGTGGACACATTTGTCATCGGTTCATTTCTATCTAGCCTTTTCATTGCTCTTCTCGTGTTTCATTTGGAGGACTGAACTTTCAATAGCACATCGTCTTTCGGATGAGACGTTCAAGCCGTTTATGAATGCAGTTGTCTTGAGAAAAGAGTTGGGAATTGACCCCTGCTGTATTCACCACCAGAATGACCTCACAAAAAATAAGCATGATGTGCTTGTGTATATATCTCACACTGAAATAATAATCTAATCCAAGATAATATTTATCAAAAGTTCTCATTAATATCTCAAAATACATGAATCATAAAATTACTGAGTAGGTCTACTTACTGTCATTTTGTGTCTTGTCTTTGATGACTCTAAGAACAAGTCCAAAAACCGTGGCGTTGAAAATCACTATAAGTGTCATAGGGAACACAAATACCCAGTAAAAAGTCCACGTCGGTAACTTACAGCTATAATGACAAAGTGCATTAAAATAATGTATGAGCAATCTCGATCGATATTTATGTTATATTATAATTACAAAAAAACCTAATGATAATAATGCCGTTTTGTTGTGATAATACTGAAGTGAATATTCATTTCGTCAAAAAGACGATTTAGACATTAATTTTTGTCCCTTGACAAGTAATCAATTGTTTAAATATGTTGAATTGAATTGTGGGACTCGGAGTGCAAAACTTACTTAAACGCACAGTTGATGTAAGATCCATCATAACACTTCGTTGAGACAACAAATGGAGTAACAGCAATCATCATTGGAATACCTGTGAAGTTAAACAATGCCATGTTGAGCTGCTGTTACATTCAGAGTAACTCTCACACATTAGAGTGTGACGCAATGTTAGTGATTAAAATATTAGTAGAATGATTGCAGTATGAATGAACTATTTAAATGTATAGGCAAGATAGACTAATGAAAGTTTCAAAGAGATTAAAGTATTAAAGAAGTAAGCCAGTTATACAAGCCCACTGTTCTACCCCGTGAGTGTCGATTCGGCCAGGGAGGGGCATTGCGAGTGAAGAAACGCTGTACACAGTTGGAAGCGACTGGACTCCTGAATAGGCAAGAAACAGATGGTTTACCTGGCCTGATCGACTGATGGTAATGGTGACAACGGCAATCACGAAGTCGATGATGATGATGATGATGATGATGATGATGATGATGATGATGATGATGATATGATGATGATGATGAAAACATGGCAAACAGCAGGAAAAATCTCTTACACACGATAAATATTTATTATTAGTAACACTAATAATATTCATAATTAATAATATTATTCTTAATTACTACTAATAATATATAATGAAATAAATTATTTATAACGGGTACATTTACACAAAGGTTGTTAATTAAACATAAAGGTGAGATGCCATAACATTTTTTAAAAACCTCCGCAATAAAATATATGTTATACAATTTCAGTACATACCCCATGCTACGATACCACTTCTGAGAACGAAGTGTGAGGTGTATGGTGTGAATACCTTCACAAGTGCTTGGTAGAGGTTAACTGCTTCCACACCGTTCCACATCATGGTTACCAATATGAAATACGAACGTAGAAAATTTGCCCAACGGCAACCTGATATACTGTTAGACGTGATTGAAGTCAGAACAAGGACAAGTAAAAGAAACAGTACTGCAATGCTTAGGTTTACCAGGATCAACGTTGGCCGACCTCTCCGTAGCTTCCTAATTATAAATGAAAAATATTTATTTGTTTGATTTGACCGGATGCTTAATTACAGGAGACGATCAGTTTATGTAAACATCATTCAACAGGTGAGGATTTCAGTATAGCTACACCTGTATCACAACCAATCGAAGCTAATGTTTAATTTTTTAAAGCATATAAGGTATTGTGAGCTCAGCCACTTTAACTTAGAAGGATCTATTAAAATTGTAACTATCGTACTCACGGAAATATGGCATACGTCAATATAGTTAAGATCAAACTGATTATAGATAATAAGTAGCCGATGTAACTGACAATTGCAATGCCCTCGGTATAGGGGAATCCCTGTAACACAAGAAAAAATCAAATAAAAAAATACTCTGGTTTATATAACTAGATGTGCTATTGTTAATGATCTTTTATGTAAGTTAATTTTTTGGGTCCGCGCAAGGCGCTGACCCCAGAGATTAACTACTGTTCTTGTTACCAAAACTTTAAAAGCGTCCAGCGTCGCCATGTTTTGAACGGACGTGCAGGAAATTTTGTACACATAAACTAGAGGTGATTTCCAACAAACGTTCATCGCCATTTTTTAAGGTGGACCCAAGGGTTCCTCCTTTACAAAACAAAACCGGAGTTTCAGCAAGGACTGTAAATTACTGCCATTACCACTAATAGAGAACGTCGCATTGATGGCGCGGTCGGTTAAGTGTTCTCAAGAACTTAAGGTTTTGAGTTTCAATTTTTTTCCACTTTTAAGAAATTCTATTTTTTTCAATTTAAGATATTTAATTTTGTACAAATGATCATCCTGAATAATGTTTTTATAATTTTTTTGTACAAATAAACATTCTAATCATTTAAAAATTTCTATCTTATTAGCTCTTCAAAAAAACCCAAATAACTTGCGCCTGTACCGTATTTAAGCGGGGAAGAACGCGAGGACCGGTGAGCGGTCGCTCTTGTTCTGAATTGCAAGAAGGCATTCCAGAGTCCTTTGGTATTCTTACTTATGTTACTAATGTGTATGAAAATAATAAAACTCAACTGAATCTTCACTTTATTTCATCATAAAATGGTGTTAGACTGTTATAAATTTAGTGTGTATACTTTTTACTTTTTTTATGAGCCTGGAGGTTTCTGGTCTTATCGTTATTGGTTTTGAGAAATAATAACCGAATAATTAAAATACATAAACTTACCAGCCAATAAAATGAGCCTGATGGTGGGTCAGTTGGGGCTTCGGTGGGCGGGATTAATTCTTCGATTAGACTAATTAGGTCAAGGTTGTAACATAGGCAATGAGTGTATGTAGCATTCGTAAAATTCAAACGACATTCGGATGCCGACCACGAGAGCTCGACTGAAAGGCAGAATACATTATTTTGTATGACGCCCTCACATCTGTGATATCTAGATGATTTAGTTATGTATAATTTTCATCAGATAGGCCCTATCAATTATTAATTATAAGTTGTGATCAGAATGATCAGCTCTGATAAGCCCTACGTTAGTAAAAAAAAAAAGAAGAGTAAATTGTTATGGAATAATAATGTAGGTCTACCGGTAGTCGGCGTATTTTAAACTTCAATGATTTATCGGCTTAATGTAAACATAACTTAATGTAAACATAACGAACAGTGTAATTTGTAATAATATGCTCTATCAGCTGTATCGAAGTGTAGTAATTATTTATTTAACACACTTTTGTAACTAACGGAGATGTATGTAGGCCTTTGTCGGAAATGCGATGTATTTTATTTAGTAACACATTGAACCATTAATGTTTAAGTACATACCAGGAGTAAAATCAGTTTCTATTTTATCAATCGTCATATTGCTCAGTATGAGATTACCAGCAGCGCATTCAAGGCTTGGAGTTTTAGACTGAGAAAAAAAGTAACATTATTTTAACAACACATGATTCAAAATGAAAAATCTTCATAGTAGGCCTACTATACCTTAAAAACAATAAGCATATAACTAAACAATGCGGATATCTCACCGGGTCACTATTCCCAGCTTGATGATGGAAAGTCACGGATATAGGGTCATTAACCAAATCGACTTCGTTTTCATCTTCAAATGCGTGCAAATAAAGCATAATGTTATCATTGATAGGTGTGACAGTACCACTAACGGGAATGAAAAACTTTGCAGTATAGTACAAAATCACAGTTGATCTGACGACCGTTGAAGTGCTATGTACTCGCACGCTGTCAGTATCAGGATCGACCTTATATGCTTTAAACAAAACAAAATATCACCATTTATTACCAATATTTATTAGTTTTGAATTATATTTTCTTATAACTTTATTTGAAATCTACACTTTTGCATCAGTGCCATATGATATACGGTGCGTTCACAATAAAACAATACAATCCGCAGACAAAAACAGTTCAACGAAACGCACAAAGACAATACAATAAAATATGATAAAAAGGTGTAAAACAATGTCATTATTGGATGTAGAACGAGAATCTAAAAGCTTTAACGATAAATTGTTGATTACAAAATTGGTTTTGAAATGTCCAGAATATAAAGACAGCCATGCAATTAGGACTGCTCAAAAGCATAAAATGAAAAGTGCAACCCTTAAAATTTGAAATACATCATATTAATGGGATAAAAATATTTAAAATGATAAGCAATATATATAAATAAATTTTAGGCTAACAACTTTTAACACTATTTAATATAACCTAATGACGTTGATGCAGGTGTAGTTAAACATACATTTTATTGTTCAAATATGTAACATTTATGATTAAATAATAAATTTTAAAAATATTTGTAAAATATCATTCGTTTCGTTGGAGAGGTTTTTTTATGTGTCAAGTCAAAAGACGTCAGCATTGAGAAGATGGTGATTGTGATGATTACGGTGATGATGATGACGATGGTGATAAAATATATTTATTGCATTTGATTTCTGAAATGGAAATAGGCCTATGTTTTATTTTCAAACTAAAAAACAATACTTGCATTAACAGGAGGCTTACATAATTATTGTAGGGCTTATATTGCCTGTCAAAGAAATAGAATTGAAAAACAATAAGCTTACATCTAGGCTCCCAATTTGTTACATCAATAGTAACAACAGTTATTCCATCGGAATCGTCACCTCCTTGGCTATTGGTTGTAAAGCTGAATACACGGGGAAAGTTGAACCATCCACTCCCTTTTGGTTGATTTATATCAATCATCAGGTTTGGTGTATGATGTTCAATTTTTTCTGTATTCTGTGGAAGTATCACCGCCTCCGCATACTTCTCTAGGTTGATTGCTATACTGTTGATTAACATTTGAAAAAGTAACACTCTTGGTAAAGTTTTTATTCCGTATAATCGCTACACTATTATTACAAAAACCTCATCCAAGGTAGGCCACACCGCAGTGATTTGGAATTTAAAGATATGCATACTGTATGTGCAATAAATAGACCGCCGTATCTCCTTTATAATATTGGTTTCACACTCTCTACTTGACACAACACACTAAACAGAAATCAGCGTATTACGACTCTTCTTAAGAACTTCACAGACAGGATCTCCAAAAGATATTTTTTATACAAGAAGATGAATTTACCAGTATAAAAAAATCTCCCCCGCCCCAACCGGCATTCGAATTCAGGTCTGCTGTGTATATGTAAACATTGAAAATTCGAATTTACAGTACGCTGTGTTTTAAACAAAAATGTTTGTATTAATTTTGATATGTATATATTTATTATGCCATATTAATACATAAAAGCTAGTGCCGGCAACTAAGATTGAAATTCAAGAAATCTTCTTACTTTAATGTTGCGGCATCTGATCGCTGAAGAATTTCAAGATTCATGTCTAATATATTACTTGTAATCAGTGTTAGTTGATCCCCGACAGCTGACGTCAGCTCAAACACCTTTGAAATTCCATAGTTCAAAACCAGTTCAAATATGGATGCAGTCATCTTCACATCCTCTTCATTCAACGGGTTTTCATCTCTGAGGAGTAATTCTACTGTTTTCAAGTAGGCGATTACTTCAGTGGTATTTCCTATTTCGCGATGTTTCTGTAACAATAGATTAAAACGACATCAACGGTACAGTCTCCTGCGAAAAATTGGCTGCGGGACCGTCGATCGTTCAAATACATTGACTGGAGCAGGATATTACTAAATCATGGCACTGTTAATATTTGCATCACATTTGTTTCTCTTCAAAAGAGTATGGATCATTAATGCTCATTTGAAAACACAATATACCGGTAACGATAATAATGACAAGTGCTTTTAAAACCACAACACTGAGATTTTGTAACACCGTTATTCTCAAGGCGTTGTCATACGGTAACTCATGAGTTATTCTGTACCTAAATAAGGTACAGAATAACTCACTTTAAAAGCTAGGCCTACTTGAAAATATCACCGAACTAAACGCGGAAACTAAATCATTAATTGCTTTAAAAATAGACCTATAACATTTTAAATGGCAAGAGAGACAATATAGATATTATACACCGGTATTACCATTCTTTCCAAAGACACCTGTAGACTGTCACGTAATTCCTCCAGTGCCAATGTGATGTTAGAGTACCATCGACACATACCGGTTTCAGGATCTCCCCAAGATGAGTTAAAGGAGTGCTGTAGAATGCGGTCATACAAGTACTTATGACGTGGGGGCGGATTGCAAGGTCTGTACGCCATGTAACTAGCGTGGTAGTATGGCCAGACACTATTAGGACATGGCAGGTACGCGTATTGTCCAGCACCTGTAGTATTCCATGTAAAGTTGCCTTTCAAATCAGAAGTAACGGAAGTCCAACAGATATCTAAAGATAAAGTACAACAATGGTTATTCAGGTACGGTACTCTCTCGTTACAGTTTTTTTTACAACTGATACCATTTGGTAATATAGCGCAAAAGTAGTAACAAATTTGAAGAGCATTTCTTTTTTGTAAGCAAGTCACATTCTTTATTCAGGCCTATGACTGTAAATAATAATGCTTTAAATCTGCAGTAGCCTATAGACTGGGACGAATTAATGATGGTTTTTAAACTTTCTTATTCTAAATGGTGTGAGGGGAAAACAACATCGCGACACCACACGAAGAAGAATGCCATTTTATCTATAGGCCTATTCATTTTTTATGAGGGTGTTTGAATTTTAGCTGGGTTTCCAAATATAAAAATTTGAAGTAAGAACGAAGTAGAATACCCTTTCCCATCACCTTTCACAAAACTAATGGTCCTCAGAGTTTCATGAAGGTCTTTCTAATCTTTTGTCGACTTTAAAACATATCTGTAAATTGATTTGATAATTATTGGGTTGATTTGTTCTTTTTTGATGGTTCAATTAATATTTTTTTTAAATATTAAGAAAAACGTACCCACGATGTTTTGCTGATATTCTATCAGTGTGAGTACGTTTTTCTTAATATTATAAAAATATATATTAATTGGATCATCAAAAAAGTACAAATCAACCCGATAATTAATATTGGATCCAGATGAATTTGTTCAATGTTTGATGATGATTGAATGAAGACGTGAACTGAGTTGGGTCGGTAAAGTGGGTTTTTTCCCCTTTCTTGTTCATTAGCTATCTATTAAAAAAAATGTAGTCACTGCCATTCCAACGCATGTTGAGAATTCTAAAACGTGTGGGTTAATTTGATTGATAGTAAATACTTCCATAAGTCCTGCTTTTACTCACCGCCAGAGAAAGATAACAAACACTTAACAGGGAGTTTAATTAAACATTCAAGGTGTTAATTGCCGATTATGTGTATGTACGGTAATTCATTTCGTAATGACTTGTAAAGTCTGGTGCGGATGTTTGAGATGATAACATTAAGTAATACCGTAGCTGTTTAAATGCAGCCACCGTAATGGTTGAAATGACTCTAATGACGTTGCTGCCATGCATGGCTGGCGTTGATACTAATTAATTTAGTTTAAATAATATTGAGTAATATTAATAATAATAATAATAATAATATAAATAATAATATATAGTAATAATAATAATAATAATGATAATGATAATAATAATAATAATGATAATGAATATAATAATAATAATGATAATGAATATAATAACTGTCTCTTATACACATCTAGATGTGTATAAGAGACAGATATAGACCCATTGACTTGTATAGTTTCTATCAAATCTAATCTATCACATTTAATTGCCTATTATTATTTTGTATATGCATTTCTATTTAGTCATTAGGCCTATATATATATTTCCGTATTTTTCTATATCAAATAAGAGTTTCTATTTCCGCCTTTCTGGCTCTTTCTTATATTATAGAACTTGCCTGTTGTTAACATATTTTTGTTTATTTGCCCCATGTTGTAGGGGGTTTAATTTAAGTGGCACCTTTATTCTGTCATTGTTTATTTCAATTATCGTTATTGCCGACTAAGATCTGTGTTCCCATACTGATATTAGCCTCATTATAAATACAGGTCCGGTGATGATGATGATGATGATGATGATGATGATGATGATGATGATGATGATGATGATGTATGGTGGTGGTGGCGGAAAAACCAGCCGTCTGTAGGAAAAATTCAAAATTGATTGCCAGAGCCGGTCACATATTTTGAATAATATGAACAACATTATAAATATTATTAATAATAATAACGGATGATAATAATATTATTGATAACAATTCTAATATAAATAAAGTATAAATTCTTGTATTATTAAGGTTAAGGTTATTAATTTATTATTATTATTATTATTATTATTATTATTATTATTATTATTATTATTATTATTATTACTACTAGTACTACTATTATTATTAATAGGCTTAAATATTTATAAAGAAGGCATAGAGATTACGGGGCATGCAGCTATGTATACAAATTGAGACGTAACAAACTATTTAAAAGAAAACCATAATCATAATAGAGTTTTTCACAGAGAAATGCTGGTCATTCTGAAGTAAGAAAGTTTTTTGACATCAGTGGAAATGTCATCCCACACGGCGAGTATAAGTAGGCCCTATATAGCAATAAGTATTTATTAGATAGGCCTACTTGTAAATATAGGCCTATTGAAATGTTCCATTCCTTAGATGTATTAATGATGAGTATTTTCCCCCTAAGTAATCTTACATCAAGGTGTTTTCACTGATCTAGATAGCATTAAGCATCGTAACCACATCTCCATATCATATAGGTGTTTATATAGGTTGTGTTATTCTTATCATTTTTAATTTTAATATGTTGTTATCAAAATATGTTGAGGCCTTGACCAATGGAATAATATAATATGAACTAAATTGATAATTTGTATCTATATCTCACCTCCTTGTGACATAAGATATCCTTGTATCACATATTAGCAATTCATCATATTGTTAAGTTTTAATTCATAAGCTTTTAAGTACGTACTTGTGAGGCTTATTTACGTAATTAATCTTTCCGATAAAGTTTAAGTATTCATTTTGTTTGCATGAAATGTTACGTAGGTTTTATTTTCCATAAACACGCATGTCATTGGACTCGCGAACACCCAATTCTGTTTCCATTTTAGTGGAGATATTCTCGGAACACGCACACGATGTATTATTATTTGGTGAAATTAAGCAATTTATTCTGTGTCGATATTTTGCTCGGACCCACTAGCCCATGAAGTGTGTTCTCTAGAAAGCAAACAATCGTTGTGATAAATATTGACCATTCCGTGCAAGGTTATTGGCCTCAATATGATTGATTTGATATGTTGTTTTTATCTTGTTTGATGCTTGATTTTCATAAATGGGATGGAGAGAATAATGGATAATTATCGATAGTAATATTATCTATGTACAGTACTATGCAAATGTATAACTGTAATGTTATGTAGGCATGCTAGTGCACATAGTGTTTCATTTTCATTTTCTTCTGTAGAATACTTCAAATGTCAGCATATCCAACAATAAAACAAAAATCACTTTCTAAATACCACTTAGAAGGTAAGGCATTAAATGAAGTATTGAAACTAGATAAAAGAAACTGATTATAACTTTGAATATGATAATAATACGTTTGATGTAATATGTATTATCTTATCGGGCACAGTATATACTAAACAGCAGTAGACCCTATACCGTGACTTGTTGAAGATTGTGGATTTCACAACTCCAGCTAACTTGGTACTACAGTGAGTAATAGTAATGTCATGGTAAAGTCCACTCATCGGTGGAATAAATGATAGCCATTTGTACAAAAAAGAAGACGAGTAGATTTAGATTGCTGTGCTTGGGCATCATTAACATTTTCTGGGTGTATGCAGATAAGGTACGACTCGTTAAGTGGGGACATCTATCCTCAGTATGGTTTTTAGTGTAATTTGCATCTTGACAAAATTTTGATTCCTAACCTTTCTCATCATTTTGTTTTGTATCTCTACACTTTAGGAACACTGTGCTTTTGTACCGTACTCAAGTCTTGTGATTTTTTTTCTTGAGAATCTGCCAAGATAGTGCTGGGTTTATTTATGTTATTAGATAATTGAATAAATGAATAAATGAATGAATGGATGAATGGATGAATGGATGAATGGATGAATGGATGAATGGATGAATGAATGAATGAATGAATGAATGAATGAATGAATGAATGAATGAATGGATGGATGGATGAATGGATGGATGGATGGATGGATGGATGGATGGATGCATGCATGTAATCAGGTCAGGTCATTCTAATAGCTCGGAAAACGGAGCATTTTGATGACAATATACCCTTCTTTTCAACTTCACCCTCTTTTTTTCAGTATCATTTTATATATAATACAAACATTTAATGCTGGTTTGTACGCTCCCCGAGTTAATGGATGGAAACGCATTGACTTCAACTTGAGTTTCAAGTGTTTGTTAAACACCTTATCAACAGCGCCCTCCAGGAAAGCTTTTATTTCAAGAGGTCCTCTGAGAATCCTGAAGTGCACAGTAAACTAAAAGGTGTCTTTTACATAACACGAAGAACTCGTTAATAGCTTTATGTGCGCCAGTAAATCACAACGTTCTGTAGCTAAATTTGCCTTTTTTTCTGTGGGAACCACCATGTGAATTGTATAAGTGTATGTAGTATCCTAAAATACAAAATCATATTAAAAATATTTGCAAAGATTGCGTACAGGTACTAAATTCTTTAATTTGAATTGAGGGAACAGTTCTATGTTAACCGAAAGGTCCAGTGATTAATCTCAGATAAGAAAGTATAATACATACTCCAAGTATTGAAATACACGTCATCGTGTTGGGATTCAATATTTCGACATTAATTATATCATCATCAGGAAATGAGTTCTATGTTGGTTTGAAAAACATCAAAACACGCGAACGCAATAGCTAAATCTATTAAGCCTGTTATTGTAGTGTTATTGTAGTGTTATTGTAGTGTTATTGTAGTGTTTTTATTTATTTTATTCATTTTCAGCTTAATATCAGATAAGCCTAATAACCTTTATTTTACCCTCAATGTGATAAATTACTATTTAATGATTATTATTATTATTATTATTATTATTAT